CGCCATGATCCATGGCATTCCAGGAATCACACTTTACCTGATTATTTACAAATAGTGCTGACTTGAGCCATCCAATCTGATTGCCGTCCAATCTGAGCCATCCAAATTCCAATCTTATCATTGAAATTAGCAGAGCCTGAGTAATCCAGCAATAGCAAAAACAAGTTGATCCTGTCAATTTTCAAAAGATAATCCTTTTACAGCGGTAGGTTCCTCGCGATCGGGGGAAAATAGCTCGCACAAAAATGGTTAACAGAAAAATGCTTACGAAAAGGCATGCCGTTTACCTCACGCTTATTTATTTGCAACAATGCATACAAAATCAGATATCCAGTAATAGGACTAAAAAAAAAACATTTTGTGGCGTAGGAATAGCGCATACAAATTCGCATGCAGCTGCAATACAAGTACAAATGCGTATACAAATAAAAGTATGCATGAAAATGTATTTGAAAATTTACAAATACAAATACAAATATTGATAGAAAATAATAAGCATGCAAACACAAGTAACGCATGTAGCTTTGCATCAGCTGTTACCTCGCAGTTAGATCGGAAATGTCTGTGTTATTACCATTGCTTGGAAGTTGGAGGTGTGAGAAAGAATATCAAGACAGCTGCATGGCCATTATTGAGTCGAACACTTCACAGCATATCGATTCATGAAGCCGCTCGTACCCACCTATAATTGGCGATGCCTCTTATTCCATGCGTTTTGGCTATGTCTATACTGTATCCACAACATAACAAATCTACTTAAAATGCTATCGATACATAAATGGACAACACGTGTTATATTGCTTTATTCTAGTGATTATAGACATGAGCAATCACATTTTAGCAATGTACCGAGACAAATGAAAACAAAATAGGTACAACACATTGCAACAGCAGAGCAAATGTAGCTACTCCTGGGCCAGACACTTCTTGCTGTAGCTAAGGTGTTAAATTTATACAACATAAATTGGTGCGTGTGATCCACTCTGTCAGACAGCCTCGTAATATGGCGGCGGGTCACTGCCTCGTCCGTTCAGTGGCGTCACAGCTCCAGCTGCTGCTGGAGCGGCTGGTGACGTGGGCGTCTCCAGGTCTGGGATGAGAGGCTGAACTTGCCGCACGACGGCCTGGTAAGGGGACAGGGACGCGCTCTCCTTGTACGGAGGTGGCGGTTCGTTTTGGCGGGTGTCCAACCGTCCCGTCACTAGCGCTGAGCTAAGGCTTGCTGAAGACGAGGGTTCTGCCACAGCATGGACCTGACGGTTAACCCGCGCACCGACGGGGGTCTGCGCCAACTTAGTACCGACGGGGGGGGGGGGGCGGATGACCGCCCCCCCCCCTGAGATCTCGAGAACGAAGCAAGATAGCGACAAGCGGTAAACGGCATCGGATACGCACGGTCAAGATCTACAATTTTTACTGAGGTCATTTTCAGGTCAGGTCAAAGATGACGTCACAGGGGTCGAAAAAGTCAAACTGGCGGCGCTAAATATGGAGAGAGTTTTTCTCGAATAACTTTCGAATTAGTCAAGATAGGAACAAACTAAGGGCATCATCGTGATCCTCTCGTCAATCCGCATCGAATGATATATATGTTGACCTCGAAAGGTCAAGGTCAAAGGTTGACCTCAGGTCACGTGACCTCGAGGTCATCATGTATATCATTCGATGCGTCTTGACGAGCTGAACACAATGAGACCATCCACGCGTCTGTATCTTGTTCCTGTACGGAGTTATTGGCCAAAAACCGTTGGTGACCTTTGATGACGTCACATGACCTCACAGCTGCCCAACAGCAAAACAGACCTCAAGGTAGTGAAGGTTGATCGTATATGAAGTCATGTATGGTATATGGGGCCATTCCGACCCGTTTTAGTGGTAAAAACAGGGAGTTGATTTTTCCCCCATTGACTTATAATGGGGAGGTCGCGAAATTGACCTGACCTTAGGTCACCGATATCAAAATTCCGAGATATACAAATTGTAGCTACTAATGACCTAATAACATCCTGCGACTTTCAAAGGCCTCCGACATCTACTGTAGCTCTGGCACGGTGACAAAGTTGCAAAAAAGTGACTTGAGGTTGGGTCATTCAAAGTGACCTGGTGACCTGACCTTGAAAGGTAGGAGGTTCAAACTTGCACACCATGTGTAAAATTGATAAGGGAATAGTCATACCAAATTTCGCGGCGCTACGCGCCGCGGTTTTCCCGCTATTCGCGAAAAACCTCAGGGGGGGGCGGATATCCGCCCCCCCCGTCGGTGCGCGGGTTAAAGTTCCGAAAAGTGGTGGGGCGAGGCAGTGGTTGTTCCATAGCTGCCTGCCATTCAAGCTGTACCTGCTGGTCATCTGCAGACGCTGATGGGAGATGCATCTGTGGGATATTTACCATGAGCTCCTGCACGTCAGGACTGAACTGTGGGCTGCTGCTGGAGCTCCTGCACGTCAGGACTGAACTGTGGCTGCCGGTGATTGGTAGGGGCTGCTGGTAGATGCAGGGCAGATGCATATTTACCCCGTGTACCTGCCACCCAGGATGTACTGTGGCTGCTGGCTCGCTGCAGGCACTGATGGTAGACACATCCGCGGCATATATGCCGCGAACACATATATATGCGGGTGCATATATGCACCCGCAGCTCCCGCCACTCACGACTGTACTTGATGACCCGGGCATCTGTGACATAGTTGCTCTGACGTCCTCCCACTCACAAATACTATGCAAGTGCCGCAGCGACTCGGGTCGCTGCAGATTCGGAGACCTCTGACCCCGGCAGGCTAGCAGCCTTCCTCGAAAAGGTTGTAAGTGCAACTGTGTTTGTACGTTGTATACCTCACTCTGTTAGTAACCATGATTCTACTGTTGTCCCTGTTGTTGTTGTTGTTGTTAAAAATGACTGAAATACTTTCAAACGTACGCATTGAGAGCCATCGACTGCTTTTTACTGCGTCTTTCTAGCCCTCTTAGTTTTTGAGTTAGAGGTGGGTGGTAACATGTGCCCCCCCTCACTATGGCGAAGTTGGCTGAGGCCGCCACTGGGGCGCGGGTTAAACAAAAAGGTCTATCAAGTGAAGTTTGAGCTCAGAAACACCGAACGATGTGCTATTTATTTTGGTGTACGATGTCGAAATCGTGCTGAAAATGATTTGATTTTTTTTTAATGTCAAAATATTGACTTCAGATCGTTATATATATTTAAGTTATTTTTGAAGATATCTTGGCTAGGGCTAAAACCTCCTTGAGTAGATCATCGGTAGGTGGGTGTTCTATCACAAATATTCCGCTTTTTTTCTTCAAAAAGTCAAAAACCTTTAGGAAAAAGCAAAAAATAGCTAATAATAAATAGACATTTAATATATCTATAATATCTATAATATATCTTTAATATATCTATAATATATCTATAATATATCTATAATATATCTATAATATATCTGTTACCGCAACAGCCGCAGAGGGCGCTGGCGAGCCATTGTAGAGGGCACCACCGTCCAGTCATGGCCTCGGTTGTGCCGTAAGATATCAGCTGATCGTTACGTGGCTAACAGCTGATCGATGCGCAGAGGTCAAACGAGTCAAGCGGCGCAATGGAGGAATGGTGTTGTAAGTGTCTTTTATTATTATTTATATTGATTTATGTGTCGTTTTGTATTCATTTAACATCTGCTTATTTTCTGGCTTCTAATATCGACTGTTTTCTTTCAGAATTACGTACGAATATACAGCTACAAACTGACTGTCTCGAACAATCGATCACTGCGCCGAATTAAGACGAGCACAGACAAAGACGCTGTAACAATATCCATAATATAGATAGACATTAATATTAGACATTATAAATAGCTATTTAGTTTTACATTGATATTTTCGAAATTTTCACAAATTTAAAAATCCGAGATAGCAGTTTGATAGCCCTAGGTATTTTGAGTCCACTTATGCAAAGACATTGGAAACAGCCTAAGAACTAAGCTCTTTAGAGCGAGTGCCGTAGTTCAATATTCTGCATCAAAATCGGCCGAGCATGACGTCAGTCTGATGTCATTTCCGGCCGACCTATGGTAGCTGCGAAGTTTTTATTTGGATACAAGGTGTGAACTTGATGCAGCTGAAGGTACATACTGCACGTGTTGTGTTGACACGTCCAGTGGTTTAGAAGATATTACAGTGAACGAGGGGGTGGGCTATGAATACTTGAATAGCCCCTCTCCCCCACTGCAGTGGCGCGCGGAAAACAAACTTTTCCTAATAAAAGTTGTTCAGTTTTCGTTTTTATCCTCGAAAACAGCAGATTTTCGTCGATTTCAGGCGCTGCGCGGGGAGGGGGCATTTCCCCTGGATCCGCCAGTGACTGTTTACGACCCTCACTGATTTAAAAGGAATACTAGGTCCGCCGATCCTATATTAATTATACGGATAGCCGCCGATTGCCGCTCGGCCACCAAAAGCTGCACTCACCGATCCGCTGGCGTCACGACCGGTCTACAAGCGCACCCCTATCCACCGACCAGGGCCGGTGTCATACAGCGCGGATAGGCTGTGCCGCTTAACACCCAAGTCAAGCGGCACAGCCTACCAGTACCAGGCGTCGGCTGCCCGTGCTGGGACATCTGGCAGCCGTGGTGCGTGATGTCCCTATAGATCAGCATGCACCCGATTGCACAATGCGCATGCCACTTCGTGGGTTAGACTACATATTTCTGGTGCAAAAAAAAAAAGAAACAGTTTCCGTATTTCACCAATTGTTGAAGTAGTGAGCTCACGTGGCCAATATGACGGCATAGTGACCCTTATGTGACCTTAGGTAGGTGACCCAAGTAGAAACCCTTGGTGTTCGCACTTGCTGATGCATTGATGTTTGCAGCAATTCTTGTGTTGGTAAATATAGATATAAAATTGTCCACAATACATTGCGCGGTGGTGATTCCAGGGGGTCAGGGCTCTTCCTTTCAGCTGCCATCAGTACAGAGGTCGTCAAGTGCCAACAAGAAACAAAACACGGACAGAATATGCAGTATTATATTTCCCCGAAAATAAAACAGTCAGAAGCATAGCTGGTTACATATGCACGAGACACCTCTACGCGCCACAATATTGTGCGCGGTTAGGCAGCATAACGTGGGATCTCTCCTGAACCTGCTACTACGGAAAGGAAGCTGGGACTGGAGGCCAGACAGCGCGGCGGTTCAGTCAGCGCGTTGGTTCTGGTTGAAGGCAGGTTTCGCGTGGCACCCGTCCGGGAGCTGGGCTGCCAGCGTGTTGGTCAGCTGGTAACCGCAGCTGGGGGAGCCGTACTCGGCCCAGCACTTGGCGAACTGCTCGGCAGTCTTAGTGCCGTCACAGTTGTCCACAATCTCCAGCAGAGTACAGTACTGCGATTCTTCTCCATTGTCATCCGGGTTTCCTTTCCCCTTTCCTTTTCCCTTACCATTTCCCTTCCCTTTACCATTTCCCTTTCCTTTACCCTTTCCTTTTCCTTTACCGTTCCCCTTGCCATTGCCATCTCCTTTTCCGTTTTCATTTTTCTCCCCACATTTGTTTCTGTTCCCCTTGGCGTTGTCACGCCTGATCGCGCCCCTCAGGCGGCCCAAGTTCAGCGTGCCGTCTCTCTTGGTGAAGTCATTCAGGAGGCAGGCCAGACCGGCCACGCCAGCGTCGTACAGCCGATAGGGGCTGCTCTCGCCGAAAGGCACCCTCCAGCACTCCTTCATCGTGTGCCCAGTGACTCGCTCCAGGGCTGTCCTCAGCGTGTTGGGGCTGAGAGGGCAGCTACCGGAGAGGACGGCGGCCCTGCGCCGCGCACCCTCCGCGCTCAGGGTGCCATTCTGCTCGTGCTGGCGGCCGCAGCTGCTGTACCACTGCAGCTCGAGACACATCAGCAGGTGGACGGCCAGCCGGCCCGGCGTCAGGCTCGGGTCGGCGTTCTCGGCGCAGCGGTCGATGTACTGTCGGGTGGCGGCCAGCCAGTCCTGGTCGCTGCTGATATCCACCAAAGAGTCCTTCAGACCTGAGACCAGGGACGCGGCGAACTCGCGGGTGGCCGGCTCAGAGGAACTGGCCTCTGGGCCTTTGAGCAGGCCCCAGCTGGAAAACGCAAGGTTTCGTGATGGTTTGGACTTTATTAGCTAATGTGATAGGTTACATGTTTTTTTTATAGTTGAAAGATGTTATTCCTAGGAATTGTGGGATCCGTTCATATACCGGGTGGCCAAAAAAAAAAAAAAAAAACGTTCCGAACTTTGGAGGCCTAGGTATATCTCAAATTCGAGTGCTAATAACGAGCCAAAATTTTTATCACGGTTGCGTCACTTCTTTGCGCATTGGTATGCCAAATTATAACACTGTAACATCATTTTCAAGCCAGCAATCTTATGTTGAATGAAGAAAGACGTTTTTGCTTTTTTTGCCGATGTTGAACGGCAGTAATGATTGGCTTAGACGTACCATGTTAGAAAAAAATGGAAAAATAGAATACGTGAATGAAACCAGCACGTGTGTTGTTACTTTAAATATTTTTGTCACACGTTTGTGCCAAATATTCAAATACTGAGCCAAAATAGTGTTAATGGATGCCATTTGTTTTAATCCTCGCCCATGTAGGGGGGGGGGTTGGTGCAACCCCCCCTGAGGTTTTTCGGAAATAGTGTAAAAACGGCGGCGCGCAGCGCCGCCAAATTTTGGGTACCTTATGGGGCAAACCTTGCGCATCTTTTGATAAAAAAAAAATTGACCGGGTCATGTCAGGTCACGGAGTTATGACGTCACAAAGGGAACAGCCTCCGGCCGGATTTTCACAAACTGAGTGCCAACGCCCGAGGTTTCCTGCCGGTGGTACGGACATCGGTTGATGGATCGTGATGAAACTTCCCATGCATGTTGGGGCAAGTATTGGCTGCTATCATATGGTATAAGAAACTTGACCGGGTCAGGTCAGGTCACGGAGCTATGACGTCACAAGAGGAACAGCGTCCGGTACTATTTTTGAATAGCGCCCGAACCACTATTTTGCTAATTCTTGTCACCTCAATGGGAATATGCAGCAATATTAGCTTCTATAGGGAGCAAATGGACCTCCCAAATCCAAAAATACAATCAGATTTCAAAAATTTAAATTTTGATTTTTCGAATTTCTGCCGCCGACTGTGACCTTGCCGACTTCCGGCGCTCCCAACGCGCCATTTTTAGAGCTAGGGAAACGAAATACATACCAAACGATAGAGAATTGATCAAGGAACACGATAGTGAAGGTTTCAAGTCGATATCTCCCACCGTTTTGCCGCAATCGCCGCGGAAAGTTGAAAAAAGTCTATTTTTCCGAAAATTTGACCTTTGACCGGTCAAAAGTAGGTCAAATGTTGACCTAGGACCAAAAATATACCACCAATCGCGAGATCTCGGCGAGAGCAATCCGATGGTCTTTTCCGCTAAGCTCTACGACGCTCCGTTTTCAAACGCCAAGGGGGGGGGGTCGCACCAACCCCCCTGCATGGGCGAAGGTGGCAGATCGCCGTTTACGGGCGAGGGTTAACAAGTCCTGTTTCGAGCAGGAGTGGAGTGGTACGGTGCATGGGTTACTGCTGATCGCCCTCCCTTCAAGAAGATCAAACAGTAAATCGACCGAATAAGGAAAAAAGCTAGAGGGAATGTGTCACCCTGAGGCCTGACCCATCAATGAGACTAGTTGCCAGTAGCAGTCATGACTGCAGGCCGTGTTGCCGAGATGGAAGTGGCCCGTTCACTCACATTTTTTAGTAAACATCTGAGCAAAAAAAGTAATTTTTACATGGCATGCTAGAAACACGAACCATTTAAAAAGTAATTGACCGAATAACATAAAAATCATACCATCTACTGAAAATGTATGCCGCATTGACTATTGGAAGTTGTAATGTTGTATCGTTATCGCTTTCTGAGAAATATTGATTTAAAGCTGGGAACGTTTTTTCTGGGCCACCCGGTAAATAGCATTCGAGCGATGCATGCGTAATTTGATTAGAGGCCCGTTCTACCAACTGAAACTAGCTGCAGGTTTTTTATTGCTAAGCCTTCTGCTCTCAATTTTGCCAGCCACGCGAAAAACTACTGATGTGAAAAACAATATCAGCCGGCCTGAGAAGTGATACGGACATAAATTGCCACAGCTGGAGATTTTCTGATTGTAAAACTGACCTCTATTTGATGCATGATTACCAACATGTTAGCCGTGGAAACCTTGGGTAAAAAAGCTGAGGATTTTTGCTTGACAACGGTTAGTACATCATTAAATATGCAGGGAACAACAAATACTAAAATGACATCATGAGCTCTTTTTCAACACAGTTGTGAATCTCTCCTTAACTTAAATCCACCCTAATGTTCTCTCTCTCTCTCTCTCTCTCTCTCTCTCTCTCTCTCTCTCTCTCTCTCTCTCTCTCTCTCTCTCTCTCTCTCTCTCTCTCTCTCTCTCTCTCTCTTATTTTTTCGGGTGAGAAAATTGGAGAACTGACTGGGTGACTGATCGCCATGCATCGTTACATGCCCGCACACATATATAATGCATGCATATCCTGACATACATACTTGGACTTGCAAACAGAATGACAGTGACAAGTACATAAGCTTTCAAAAACAGTCAGCAATTCTCTATAACCTTGTTAATTTATTATGACTATCGCTCGATATCTTGCCTGGAGGCAAAGCAGTTGAAGCCGACAACCAGTCTCAGGTCAGCGTCGCACCGCGGAGCCCACGATTGGGTTTTGATGGGGTCGTCCCCGAGGTTGACCAGACACTCGACCGGCACCCGGCGCAAACCGACTTGCTGGAAGCATTTGTATTTATGCCAGTTGTAGGGGGAAAAGCTGAAATTTGCCGGCATACATCCATTCATCTTCAGCTTGTGGAGGAGATAATAAGAAACTTTAACGAAGCAGGGTATGTTATATTGTCCCGAACCTGTCAACACAGAAAGATCACTTGTTTGCAGGTATGCGCAAATGCCACGGGGGGGGGGGAGAGGCTGAGGGATTGTGTTGTAAGTCGGAACGTATGGGGGCTTCAGACGCAGTTTAGATAATAACTATATAACAACCAGTATAGCGCCTTTTGGGGCGACTAACGGAGCGAGCGAGAGGGTGAGCCTTGCACGTGCGAAATTTCGAGGGGGTACCTCCAGCTGACTTGTGCACGGCACCCTACTAACCGGTCTCTAGCGATGTGCCAAATTTGAGCACAATCGGCCCAGCCGTTCTCGAGATCTGGAAGCGGCACCCTGCACGTGCGCACGTGCAAAATGGGTCCCAACTGACTTTTGCACGGCACCCTACTAACCGGTCCCTAACAATGTACCAAATTTGAGCGCCATCGGTCCAGCCGTTCTCGAGATCTGGAAACGACCCCTGCACGTGCGCACGTGCAGCAGCACCCCAACTCTGGCACATGGATATGCAGTGCCTAGTGGGTGCCTACCTACATGCCAACTTTCAGCGCAATCGGCCAAGTAGTTACCGAGATATTGCAACAATTACAAAAGTGACACCTCTTCGTTTTGCACGTGGCACGTGCATAAGGGGTCACCCACATGCATCGGGAATAGTCTAATACTTGGTAGAAGGAATGAAGCTACCCCACAAAAATTACCGCATGTAAATCGGTCAAGTGGTTGCTGAGATATAAGCCTCGCAAAAGCGTGACCACGGCCGGCCGGCCGGCCGGCCGGCCGCTCATACTCAGAAATTTCCGTTATTCTACGTAAGACTCCGCTCGCTTCGCTCGCTCCGTAATGACTGATACTCATTGGGAATTCATTAAAGCTACAGTTTCATTGATCACTTCAACAAAAAAGGGAAATCAGCCGCGCTGGCATATTTACTTTTTCTAATGCAATGTTGTGCTTGACTTACAACAAATTGTTTACAACATAGTCGTAGGAACAGGGGGCATGACCCCCTACTTTTCAGCCGTTTTTTAAAGTAGATTATTACGGAGCGAGCGAAGCGAGCGTAGTCTTTCCTTAGATTAACGGAAATTTCTAAGTATGAGCGGCCGGCCGGCCGGCCGGCCGTGCGGACGCTTTTGCGAGGCTTATATCTCAGCAACCACTTGACCGATTTACACGCGGTAATTTTTGTAGGGTAGCTTCATTCCTTCTACCAAGTATTGGACTATTCCCGATGCATGTGGGTGACCCCTTATGCACGTGCCACGTGCAAAACGAAGAGGTGTCAGTTTTGTAATTGTTGCAATATCTCGGTAACTACTTGGCCGATTGCGCTGAAAGTTGGCATGTAGGTAGGTACCCACTAGGCACTGCATATCCATGTGCCAGAGTTGGGGTGCTGCTGCACGTGCGCACGTGCAGGGGTCGTATCCAGATCTCGAGAACGGCTGGACCGATGGCGCTCAAATTTGGTACACGGTTAGGGACCAGTTAGTAGGGTGCCGTGCACAAGTCAGTTGGGACCCATTTTGCACGTGCGCACGTGCAGGGTGCCGCTCCCAGATCTCGAGAACGGCTGGGCCGATCGTGCTCAAATTTGGCACAGCGCTAGAAACCGGTCAGTAGGGTGCCGTGCACAAGTCAGTTGGAGGTACCCCCTCGAAATTTCGCACGTGCAAGGCTCACCCTCTCGCTCGCTCCGTTAGTCGCCCCAAAAGGCGTTATACTGGTTTATTTTTGATTTAAATACAAAACTAATAGCGGGAAATGGTTCAGCAAGATGAGACGAGCACAAAACTGCAAATAATTTCTTCATAGGGGTATTAGGGCTCCCACAAAGTGACAATTGAAGTTCCGCTGCCCCCCCCCTTTCGTGAGGTTCCTACGCCCATGATTGTTGACTTGTTTGAAAACAAATTACCAACAATAAATTCAGACAAAATTGCTTATTACGGACATGGTTTCGTGAATATCGCGCATGTTTTAGTAGGGCTTTCCAATTGATAGTAAAAAACGCTGAGAAAAAATGGTGAAACTGGTCTGACAGTAATGCAATTGTTCTAATTTTGGATATAAATATAATTTCATACGATTACTGGAAGGATGAAGAATAACGTGTTGCTCATTTCTATCGGAAATAGAAAAATAAACCAATATATGTATATTCGGGCGTCGCGTGACCCTTCCTCAGTGGTACAAGATAACAATGAAACAAGATAAACGTAAGTGACACACATGAGGTAAAATACAATAGTTTGAATCAAATTACTTACAGATGTGTTGCATGCGCTTCCAAAAATAGGCGTCGATCTAGATTTGGGTAATAATGAATAATGCTATTAACAATGTTCATTACAACGTTCAAATACCTGAAATAATGTCATACGATTGAAATAGGGACGAGTAGAGCACACGTATCCCATACCACATTGTCGGCCTACGGCAAGGATTTTCCGCATTCTTCGCTAGGAACTGTGGCCTTTCATACCTACCGGCAACGATCAGGAGCGCACAGACGAGGGCGCGGGCGAGGGCGACCATGCTGACTGAATTCGTCGACACGGGAAGTGGACGAGCTTCCACTGTTCCCTCTGCCACTACTGTGGACTCTGAGGGCGGCTTATATGTACTGCGGCGGGGTGTGGTTATCTCTCCTTATACCCTCCTCTGTGACCCCACAGCTGGGCGCAAACCGCGTGCACCCGCCAACCCGACCAATATCCCGCGCACGGCCGGGATGGGCGAGGGGGCGTTTGGACACCACTGTCCACTAATGCAGTTTTCTGCAACTAGCTATCAGACGTTTTTTTCAGATTTTTGATGCATCTTTTTGCAAATGTGTAAATTTCGGATCCAGGTCGCCAAACTTAGGTAGTCAGATCATGTAGTGACTTAGCCTCAAGAAATCAAAGCTTGACCTCTGGTCAAAATTTCAATTGACTTTTGAAATTCAAAATATAGCTCATTTGACGTCCCGTGACGATAGAAACATGATGCCGGTAAACCAGCATAGTAAGTACAAGCTTGAGGGGCAAAAGGTATTAAAAACATGTTCTGTAACAGATTTTCCGTGAAGCTTAACCTGTGGAGCTAAGTAAAAAGTGAAATCTGAGAGTTTTATCTACTCAGAAAGGTATTAATATGAGTTGTCAAATGATTTTCTTTTCGTGGCGCTGTAGCTCCGCGTTTGTTCCCACATTTTGTGTCGATTTACCAAAAAGTATCGAAAAAGGCGAAGGTGTGATCCCTTTGATCACTTTGCTCACGTGTAGTGGAGTAGTGAACTGACCTTTCGACTGACCTAAAAATTGACCAAAATACTTTCTTCATTATTTTTCACCCTGTTTTGAACGCCCATACGTGGTCCAGGAGCCGAGTGAGACGAGATGGATGAGCTCGATCTCCCCATCCTGGCGCGGAATATATAGGCGTTTGCCAGTTCAAAGCAGTTTGAACAAAGCACTTTTAACGACGAGAAACGGAGACTTTGTGCCACGTCTGGCAGCTTCGACGATGAGTTAATGTTTCAATAGACAATTTTTTTACACATTTGGTGAACAGCCCGCAGTAGGGACGAATTAAGTTCTCTTTTGGAAATATGGAATTTTATCGACCGCGCAGAAGCATTTCACGCGTCAGCAAAACAGGTGTCTGGTGATTTTCACGTAGTGCCACCTGTAAACGGGCTATGGTCCCTATCCAAGTGTTTTTCTACACCTAGATGTACCTCCCATGGACGATTTGAATCCTTTGAACTCATATATCGGTTGTATGATACTTGTGTATGCAAACAACAACACTTGCACGTAACACACACGCTCGTTCCGTTGAAAATAGTAGATTCACCCGTGCGACCCTCAGCTTTGGTGATTCACGAAATAGGTCAGATGGGACTGAAATAGAAAATGTACTTGATAAAGGTAGTGACAAATTTATGTTTCCTATGTTATTGCATTTTAGTGATGTATCTGGAAACTAACAAGTTACCGAGATTTACAGAGTGCAACCCTTGATCGGATTATGAGAGTGTCTCACTGATAGACACCTGAGAAGAGCTCCGAGGGAAATATTAGTAACGGTGTCAGCAGAAGATATGCAACTACAAAAAAAAAATTGTCAAATGCGTTTGTCTTGAACACATATCGTTTTTTTTTTTTTTTGACAAATTGTGGTTATTGGATCAAAGGACGTTTTAGTAACGTTATGATGTGTTATATCTTCAAAAACAGAATTGACCACTGAATAGCATCATTGAAATTCAATTCAAAAATCGCATCAGATATACACCTTTCTCAGGGACACATTAAGAATGACCTCAGTTAGTTAAACCGACCCTAATTTAACCCTCGCCGGCACAGGCCATTTTGAGTCCTTCGACAGCACAAGGGGTTGGTACGACCCCCCTCTCGCATTTGGCCCCTGATGGAGCTAGAGCTTCGCGGAAAAAAGAGCGTGTTGCCCGTCAGGAGACAAAGCCAATGATACCCAATTTTAAGGTCCTAGGTCATCGGTTGACCTTCCAGGTCAGGTCAATGACCCAAAAATCGGGAATATCGGGCCCTGTTAGAAAGTCGTAAAGCGTGGCTGCTAAGGGGTTTTCCGGGGTGCTGATCACGAATATCGTGTTAGTTTTGATCACAGATGATGTCGTTAAGCGTTTAGACCAGGTCGGGTCAGGTCAGGTCAGGTCAGGTCAAGTCAACCGGTAGGGGTCGTGACGGGTATTCGTATTATCTGTCATCCGCCTCTGACAGCTTCGTAACATGTTACGAAGGCACCAAAACTACTTCGTTGAAGTTCAAATGATTGCTAAATTTGAATTCAGCTCCAAACACTAGCCTAGAAAAATCTGAATTCTGAAACTCGAAAAAGTGAACCGAGGTCACAAAAGGTCAATGACCTGACCTGACCTTCAGGTGACGTTGACACCCACCCTAATGCATGGGAGCAACATCAAATCACATGTTTGAACGTTTGAAACCACGAAAAGCTTGCAAACACGCGGCTAATGCGAGCGCCGAGCCGACATACGCCGAATCGCGATACCGGCCAAACATGGTCACGGAAAAAAGGTCACAGGTCAAAGGTCATTTGGGCCAGGGTCATGAAATTTTTAGGGTAGGTGTAAAATTAATCAATGCGATGGTACTGAAAGTAGTTTCGTCGCGATCAGCTGCTTTTTACGCGAGTGATTTGCGAAAAACCTTAGGGGGGTTGCATCAACTAACCCTCGCCCCTGTGCCGGCGAGGGTTAAACCTTAGCCTAACTCATAAAGCGTGTGTCTCGCCAACATCCTACCTATTCAATGTTTCGTTTGTGATGAACTTGATGGCCTGACGGTTAAGTTCGAGCTTTGTATCACATTTCATGTACCGCACTTTGACTTAGAAGCCTACTGTCGCATTTTGGGCAATCGGCCTTAGTCGATTTTTCGCCAACTGGGCTCCAAAGCCAATGATAGAGACTTGTGGTTTTGACATTTGACCGTGACCTTGACATAGTATGAAGCCCTCTTTAGAAAGAAGAGCGCTTAAAACTTTCGTTTTTCAATACCTTTTGATCGACATTTGCTGTCATTTTATCTTTTACGACCATCCTTTCTGCAGTAAGACAGGAGAAGGATCGAATCTGCTTCCCCCCCCCCCCCCCCCCCCACACGGCCCCGCCAGGAGACACGTTAGGCTGAATAGTCCGCTGGAGTGCGGATCAGTCTTAGGCCCATTAGCCAGCAGGAATCCGGTTCATCCAACCATCAGCTGATGCTACGGGTGCGTATTATTTAGGCCAGGGTTCATAATGTCCAGGGCACAATGTGTCCAGTGCTCGAATTGGCCAGTGCCTTGAATTGGCCAGTGTTCACATTGTCCAGGGATTACATGGTCCAAAAGTGGCCAACTGGCTGCAGATAGGGTAAATTCAAAGAGGCCAGGGTTCGTAATGTCCAGGGCACGATGTGTCCAGTGTTCAAAATGGCCAGGGTTCATAGTGTCCAGGGCACGATGTGTCCAGTGTTCGAAATGGCCAGGGTTCATAATGTCCAGGGCACGATGTGTCCAGTGTTCAAAATGGCCAGTGCCTTGAATGGGCCAGAGTTCATAGTGTCCAGGGATTACATAGTCAACCCAACCCAACCAAACCAAACCTAACCTAACCTAACCTAACCTAACCTAACCTAACCTAACCTAACCTAACCTAACCTAACCTAACCCAACCTAACCTAACCTAACCTAACCTAACCTAACCTAACCTAACCTAAGGTAATGATGTTTGCCTACCAGGGATAAGGAAATAGTTTCTCGCATGAATAGATTGCAAGCAATAGTAAATCAAATATTTTTAGGTTAAGTGGTTATGCATCAGGCTTCAGGCCTTCGGCCTGAAGCTTGAATACATAACCACTTAACCTAAAAATATTTGATTTACTATTGCCTGTAATCTCTCCTAAGGCATTGCCTTCGGCACTGCACTGCTTTGCATTGAGCTGATTCCGTGTTTTTTACATAATGACGTCACTTTCAGTGACTATGTAATCCCTGGACATTATGAACTCTGGCCCATTCAAGGCACTGGCCATTTTGAGCACTGGACACATCGTGCCCTGGACATTATGAACCCTGGCCATTTCGAATACTGGACACATCGTGCCCTGGACATTATGAACCCTGGCCATTTTGAACACTGGACACATCGTGCCCTGGACATTATGAACCCTGGCCTCTTTGAATATACCCTATCTGCAGCCAGTTGGCCACATTTGGACCATGCAATCCCTGGACATTATGAACTCTGGCCCATTCAAGGCACTGGCCATTTTGACACTGGGCATAGCGTACCCTGGACATTATGAACCCTGGCCAGAATGAATGCTCCCCGATGCTACACCCTGCCTCACGGACAATATCTGTCACCTTGCTCTGACGTCCTGGCTCTGCCAGCCTATGCGACTGTCGTGACAGACCAAGGTCCTTGCCATCACCCCTCGGAGCTTCCTAATAACCGCCCGACACCACCAGCCCAGCGGCCGCGGCGCTGGCCTTTAATAACCATGGTGTGAATGTCGCTGACATGCCGGCCGGCGTGGGCGGTATCCATCGCCGGTTTGACGGCTGAACGTTCGTAGCGGTCTGGGCCAGCGGCGGGAGAGCGTCCGTCTGTCAGTTGGCCCGTCTTGCCGTCAGAGACCGATCGCCATGCAGCTGCCAACTGTGCTCCTCGTGTGGGTGGCGGCGACTACGGCAGGTGAGACAGGATGGGGTGACGTGCAATGTGCAGCAAGGCTGATCTTGGTCTGGTTACGGGCGAGCCATACACGACCCTGTGGCACTGTGATCATTGTGGACATTCGGTACCCTTGTCTGGGAGTAGCGTGTCTGGGAACCCTGTTGACCATCTCTTTGGATGAGCCCGTTGCCCACAGCCTGGGGCTCTTAGTTCCACTCCAAAAGACGGATGAGCACCTGACTTTTACCATCACCCCGTTCCAGCGCCCTGGCCACAAGACCCTGGCACCCTCCCATTGTCACCGCCGACTGCGCGTCCGCCGATTATCATAACGCTGCCGAGACGGATGCTAAGGCCGACACCGCAGCCGACTCCGGAGCCGACACCGGAGCCGACTCCGGAGCCGACACCGGAGCCGACGCCGCAGCCGACTCCGGAGCCGGCGTCGCCTCCTGCGCTGCCTCTCTGCGGTAATCTGAAGACCGCTGCGGAGATGAAGCAGCTGGGCTTCAGCCGCGGCACGGGGGCGTTCTCCTCCTCCTCGTCCAGCCGCGGCTCGGCCAACACCAGGTGCAGGTCGCGCTCCGACACCTCCGAGAACGCCCTGGCAGCCGCCGGCAACGCGGCAGTCACCGGCGCCGGCAACTCCGTCGGCGGAGGCGCGTTCAAACAGGGCGCCCGCGCCAACACAGGTAAATGCAGGTGCATTGTGCGTGCACACGCAGAAAGACAGGGAACTTTTACGATTAGCTTTTACACGTTCAGCTTTACTCGCAGTAATAGCGCTTCTGAATTTAGAAATCAAGCATGGGGGCTGCAAAAAACAGTGATCTGTGCAGCTTTATATGTGCATTATTGGATCATTGGATTGCATCGAGTGGGCAACTGTTTCTCCCTAATTGTTGACCAATCATTCCTCCTCTCCCTCGCAGAGGTCAAGCAGACGCCCGACGGCATCAGCGTCAACACGGCGACGGGCGGCAGCGGGGTCACCGCCGGCTCCTCGGCCACCAACCAGACCACGGACGCTAATGGGGGCGTCAACGTGCGTCTGCTGCGGAACGCGCTGCGCCAGGGCTCCGACGGCGGGCTGGTCACCTTCAGCAGCATCCTGCGAGGTCGGGGCACCTCCTCCAGCGGTCACAGCGGCTCCAGCAGCGGCGACGGCGAGCTGGACGTCAGCAACGAGAGCGGCACCCAGATCATCTTCAGCCAGCTGACCACCCCCAGGCCGCGCGGCCACTGATCAGTGACCGGTGACCGCTGACCGATCCTCCCGACCGGGCAACAACTAACCAGTGACCATCCCCCAGACTGACAGTAACCATCTCCTGACCGGCCAGCTACTGACCAGAGACCACTGACCGACCCCAGACCCAGCGGCGACTGATCAGTGACCACCCAGCGCCTGACAACCGCCAGACCGACCAGCGCGGCGACTGACCAGTTGACCACCTCCAGACCGACAGTGACTGACCATTGACCAGCCCTGGACCGACCATGACCGGGGGCGAAGCATGCTTCGCCCCCGGTCATGGTCGGTGCACCTCGAGGTGCACCTCGGAGTTGGAATGAATGGAAGTAGAACGAGTGGAGAACGGGCGAAGGACGCCGAACGAGCGAAGAAGGGACAGAAGAGAGCGGAGACCGAGAGAAAAAGGGACAAAGGACCGAGAGAAAAAGGGACAAAGGCGATCGGAGAATGTGGACTGTGGAGGGTGGAGCCTCCCCAAAATAACTATGTGACCGTATTGACTGATAAAGCTTGTCTGTTCGGCAATAGGCTGCTGAGAAAGTAAGAAATGATAGCAAAGTGCATACTCCAAGGTATCTCGGCTTGAAATATGCAGCCATTTACGAACTGGCGTTTGTGTGGTGCTCACCTCACGCTGAGTACAATGCGTACCTACACAGTACACACTGAGCTAGCCTGGAATCGTGTGAGAGTCCGGTGTGTCACCGCCGGGTTACGTAAGTTGTTGATACTAAAAATATTTGTGTTGCAGGTGGTTGGTACCGTACCCTTCCGTCGATTGTACACAGACTAAGTTGTAAGAATAAATCACCTGTTTGAGACGCCCTGTGCTGTTTTAACCCGCACCCGGGCTGGGGTCCCAGCCAAGTTCGCCATGGTGAATGTTCGCTATGCGAATCACGAAGAAAGAACGAAGAAAGACACGGAAAAGCAACATATGTAGCTCGCTATTAAATCTGTCAAAATCTCTCAAGTCTTTTTCGATCAGGTCATCGCTGGGGTCACTGCAGATCACCAAAATTAGAATTATCACGAATTTTGTTTTCCGAATTTGACATGCTTCACAAGTCGGCACTAACTCAGGAAAAAAACAGAGCTACAGCGTCTCGGAAAAGAGCATTCGATGAGTCATTTAACCCGCGCCCCAGTGGCGGTCTCAGCCAACTTCGCCCTAGAGGGCTAGAAAGACGCGGTAAAAAGCAGTCGATAGCTCTCAATGCGTACGTTTGAAAGTATTTTAGTCATTTTTCATCTTAGAGCAATATTGGGGTCACCAGAGGTCATCAAAGGTCAAAATTTGCCAATTGTCATTATATTTTTCAGAAAACATGCCGTTATCTCAGGAACTATGGTAGCTAGAAAAACGCATGGAACAGCAATCGATAGCTTTTGAACTCTGCTTTTGATAAAGTCATTATCAAAATTGACCTTAGGTCAACGGTTTAGCCTCCAGAGGGCAAAAACTCCAATGTTTCAGCTCTTGTCCTAATTGTCAACACCGCAATCAAAAACAATCTGAAAATACTGTATTGCTGGTAACAAAGGTTTCGGACAGACAAGGCTGAAATTTAAGTAGGTAATACCTTATGAAACCCAACGAGGTCACGATAAATTAAGCCACGTCCAAAAGCGCACTTGACATAACTTGACAGTTCGTAGTTTCGTACGATCTTGATTTTTCGTTTCGTTTCCTTCGTTATGTTCAGTTCAGTTCGTTCGTCCGTTTCTTATCGTTTCTTATTCAACTTAAACAAAAATAAGTCTAACTAAACTTAAAATTCGAAAAACAGTAAAAAGACGTAGATAATATTGGTAACCCAAATTCAAATTTATATGGATGTCTCACGTGACAAGCCTTCTTTCGCACTAACCACTTGCAAATGACTGTTCGGCATTTACATTCTCCCTCATTGCAAGACCGAGAGGTCGCAATCAGGAGTCTTGAGTTGAGCGCCATTCTACAGGGTGTTTCACTAAAAGTGTCAAAAAGTAAAAGGCCCTTATGCACATAATAACAATGTTTTCTATGGACATTTGCACATCATTCCATCCGCGATTGTTGGACATTTGAATATATAAAAATAATATCACCGTCACTCAAACCTATTCCACATATCCGCCGCTTCTTTTGATGCACCGTTTCGGCACGTGTCCGGAGGTGCCTCACAGCCCGTTTTCATCTTCAGCGTCCAGACTGTCGGCAAAGCCTTGCATTGTGCTCTTCAGCTCCAAAAGTGATGCGACTTAAGTCTTCCTCAGCTCTGCGAGAGCTACTGACCGAAACCAGAAGGCTAGCGGTGACAGATCGGGGCCTCGCGCTGGCCAGGGGCGGGCGGTGAGGCAGCTGATTATTCGGCCCGGGAACGGAACTTCTGGTCCAGCCAGTTCTTGGTGGCTACAGCCGTTACAGTGGTTGTTTCTGATAAATTGGGGGCTTGGCTATTTCTGATGTTGAAATAAGCTTCTTGTTATCTTAAAAGGCCCTAAAAAAGACCCTGACCTTTTCAACGATTTCCGCCGAGAGGTGGGGGCGACCCGCCTTTTTTTGGACTGGAACCGGCATCAAAGGAACCCTTTTAAACCTCTCAAGAAGCCCTTTGAAACTTTTATAATCTGGGTCGTAGCGAGGTGAGAGAGTGAAACGTTTCCTGAAAAGTCGGCGTACGGTTTCAATGCTTCTGATAGCACCAAATGTAAGTGTAATCCACCGCTCCCGTTGCGGTGTAAATAACCTGTTCTTGTTCTGTATAAGGAAAAAAAAACGACTAATAACTTTGGCCTCCTGCCCTCGCTCCGTATGAGTGTAAAATATATCTTAAGTGGCCAAAGCATAAATGTCCAAAAATTTGCAACAAAGCCACGTGCGCAACCACGTGCTTTGCGTATTTTATATATTTTTAATAAGCATTTTCTTTTTGACACTTTTAGTGAAACACCCTGTACGTCAACAATCTTTACCAGCTTTGTGATGGGTCGGTCCAGGACAGAACTCTTCGTCTTGACACGTACCGAGCGCACCAGACCATCACGACTCTTTCGTACCTGTTCTACTCTTCGAAGTGGCCATTGTCCCCGGGGTACGGAGTTATCGATCAATAGCACGATGTCTCCAGGAGTCAGGTTAGGTCTCGAACGCGTCAATGGCCCGGGTCTTGTTTGAAGCAGTGGTATATATTCCCTTCGCCATCTAAGCCAGAACTGATTCGATAGGTACTGAGCTTGCTTCCACATTTTTCGACCGATCAATTCGTCGCCAGTGCATAAACAAATCTGGTCTGCTGATTTTCCCTGAAGAAGAAGGATATGATTTGGTGTCAGCGGCTCTAGATCACGGTGGTCAGCTGATACCGGGGTGAGAGGTCGATTATTCATGATGGCTTCAATTTCACACATAAGCGTTTGCAGTGTTTCGTCTGTCAGTGGTTGGAGGTCGATGAGTGCGTCCAGTATCTTTCTGACGCTTCTGATGAGCCGTTCCCACGCTCCCCCAAACCTAGATGCCCCTGGCGGATTCAGCTTCCATTGAATGCCCTTTTTTGACATATCATCCTCCAAGCGATTTCGATCGTTCAGCAATGCCTTTAGTTCCTTCCTCAGTTCTTCCTTGGCACCAACAAAGTTTCTACCTTGATCAGATATGATTGTTCGAATTTGCCCCCTGCGTGACATGAAACGCCGAAGAGCGCAGATGAACGAGTCTGTTGATAAGCTCTCTATAATTTCCAAATGAACAGCTCGAATGGACATGCACGTGAAAATTACACCGTACTTCTTTAGCTGACCTCTTCCCCGTTTTACGTAAAACGGACCGAAACAATCGACTCCCGTTACCGAAAAAGGAGCCTGACGAAATTGTAGCCTCTCGTCCGGAAGATCGGCCATTTTCTGTGACTCTGGTGGGCGGAGTCGTCGCCGACATGCAATGCAATCGTTTTAAAACCCTCCTCACTTCAGCATTGGCTCTCAATACCCAAAATTTCCTCCTCAAATCGGATAGAACGTGGTGACGTCCTTCGTGACCAGCGATTTCATGTGTATGCCGTATAATTAACTCAGTAGTTCTGGTCTTGCTGGGAAGGATGATTGGATGCTTGCTTTCACGGTCAATATAATTGGAGCGAGTGAGTCTGCCTCCTACACGAATAAGCCCATTTTCCAGATATGGGCTCAATCGAGATAACTTACTTATCTTGTATACGTGTTCACCGAGTGTCGAGTGAGAGACATCGTACGTCGTGTGGGAACGCAATGAGCTGGACAGCTTTATATATCGCACTCTCTGCGTTTTGGATGTCTTGCAGAGTCAGTCTCATTGACTCTGACCGTCCGCTCGATCTGGGCTCATTTACCTTCAGTGCCGCTTTAACTTTCAGAATCCAAGCGACACCTCGCACCAGTCCCGTCCATGACGAATAATGTTCCGACAGCCGACTTACTGGATCTATATCTGGCTGCCTTTGAGTCGTTAAGGCGACTGACACCTTCTTGAATTCCAGATCCGTGGGCGGTAAGCTGTCCTCTTTAGGCTGAGCAGGCAATGAGTTCGACCATAGGAAACATGGACCGCGCCTCCACATCTCATTGTCTAGGAACGCTTCATCCTTCTGTCCACGAATTATGACGTCCGCTGGATTGTGAGCCGACGGCACGTACTTCCACTGCTGAACTGAAGATCCATCGTGTATGATAGACAGTCGATTTGCCACAAATACCTGAAACCTTGCTGTTACATTTCGGATGTATTTAAGAACAGTAGTGCTGTCCGTCCAAAAATGTACAGCCATAATCGGGACACTCAGTGCGCGTTCCAACGTAAAGTTCGTTTTGACAGCTAGCGCGGCCGCACAGAGCTCTAAGCGAGGAATACTGATACTCTTCAGGGGTGCCACGTGGGACTTGCTCATGAGCAAGGAGCAAGACATGACATCGCCATGCCTGTCCACTTGCCTTACATAAGCTGCCACACCATAACTCTTCTCGCTAGCATCCGTAAAATAATGTAATTCCAATGCAGTGTCTTCCTTAGTTGCTTTGAAACATCGGGGTACTCGGAATTTCGTTAGTATTTCTAGCTCACACAACCATAACTTCCAAGCCTTCTGAAAGTCGTATGGAATATCGCTATCCCAATCTATCTTCAAGCGTGATAACTCCTGAAGAAGCAATCGCCCTCGCATAACGAATGGCGACGCCAGCCCGAGCGGGTCATATACCCCTGAGATCACAGATAATAGTCCCCTCCTTGTCAATGGCCTGTCTTGAAACGCGCTAACGTCGACCTTGAAGCCCAGTGTGTCGGCTTCAACATCCCAATGTACGCCAAGAGCGCGCTCGGCCGGGAGTTGATCGATTCCGAGCCTGATTTCCTTCACCTTTTTCGAGCGATGATCTAGGGGAATCGTCTCCAACACCGACGAACGATTGCTCACGAACTTGGTTAAAGTAAATCCGCCCAAGTCACAAAGCTGCCGAAGATCTCGTATTAGATCAATTGCTTCTTTTTCCGATTTTACAGATTTTAAACAGTCATCAACGTAAAAGTTGTCAAAAATAGTTTGCGCTGCTTCCGTTTGGAATATGTTGCCAAAATCGTCAGCCGTTCTGCGTAAAGCGTAGTTGGCGCAGCTGGGGGAAGACGTTGCGCCAAAAATGTGCACCGTCATTCTATATACTCTTGGGGGCGTGTTTTCATCACCATTGGGCCACCACAAAAATCTCAAATAATCTCTATCGGCTTCTGGGACATTAACTTGCAAAAACATTTCAGATACGTCCGCTGTGAAGGCTATCTCTTCCTGTCTGAATCGGAGCAACACGTCCATCAAAG